TTATTCTGTATTTCTATTTTGCCTCTTGAAGCTTTGTAATTTTCATTCTGAATTTTCCTATTTTTAATAAAATGATGGTCCTTTGCAGCTGGAGATTAGCCGTTCGAAGCAACACCTTCCTCTGGCCATAAAAAACGGTACTGTACTTGAAAACCCTAAATTTTGGTTTGTATTATGTTAGTGACTTCCCAAAAGCCTAATAGTGCAGTGATTTCATCCACATCCAATAAAAGGTAAACAATATGATAGTCTGGCTTGATGACTCAGAATAAATTACTAAACCAATAAAACCATGTGCGAGGAGCCTATTTGATCGAGGCCATATATAGCTTTACGAAGACGACATAAATGATGGGAAACTAATGATGAACAAAACTAGGTGATTGACGCATGTAGAGCTCTTCAGTGAGGTGATCGTGAAGTAAAGCATTTTTAACATCTAGTTGACAAATAGACCAATCAAAAGAAACCGTAACAATAGAACAAGACGTACCATAGTATTGATAGTAGGCTTAACCACATGGTTGAAATTTTTGGAAAAATTATTGCTTGTTTGCTGATTAAAACCTTGAGCTACAAAATGTGCTTTAAATCGATCAACAGAACCATCAGAAAGATACTTAGTCTTATAAAGCCATTTACACACAACCACATTCTTACCGGCATCAAAGGTAACAAAACTCATGTATAATTAAAGATAAGAGCATTAAATTTCCTAGTCATTACAGCTCGTCCTTTAAAACCTCTATATGTTACACAAAAACATGTGTGACTTTTAAATTTTCAAAACTCTTAAAAATTGTCTTGCCAAATATTCAACTAGAAGCTCTTAGAGACTTTTTAAATATTACCAAAATTAGAAGGTCGGGACTTTTGTCGCCAAACATGCACTTAATCACTTTTGAAATATGTTTCTCTAATCACAAAGAGTCATATATGTGGAGAGATTAAAGTTTGAACCTTTATTGATTTATACTAGTTCTCATTGTACCTAGTTTGATATGAACTGAGTTGAACATTTTTATTATACTCCATCATTTAATTTATGTACTTGTCTACTACTCTAGTCCAGGGTTGTATACGAATCAAATAATTTATGCTCGATTTGGGATTCTAATTCGTATAAAACAATTCAAATTCGAAATATTCAAGTACAAATACAAATAAAAATACTAAATTTGGTTCAAATTATTATCAGTATATTTGGTTTGAATGTTAATCAAATATATTCGATTAATAGTATTGATAATATTAATAATAATAGTAATAGTAACAATAGTAGTAATAACACTATAATAACTTTTAAAGGCTAGCTATACCTTCAAAGTGTAGCCATACATATACATTTATGTATACATATTTCAAGCCAATTTGTAATAATGCAAAAGTATCATGAGGGTTATAAATGAAACAAATAATTTTAATTTGATTCGTGATTTCAATTCATAAAGCAAAATGTAATGTTACAAATATTTACTTTAGTATATTGTGCACAACCTAAAAATGCATCGATTCATTAAATTGTAAAGCAAAATGTAATGTTACAATTAAATTCTAAAAAAACAATTAAGTCATAGCATGCATTCATAACATAAAAAAATTGAAAAGTTGTTTTAAAGTGATATTTGACTAATATTCAACTTATGATCAAATCGATTCGATATTCGTATATTATTCGTTAACTATTCGTATTGTGAAACAAATACAAATACAAGTCGGAAAAAATATTCGTTTAGTATTCGAATTCGAATTCATATTCGGAAGAATTAAACAAATACAAATACAAAATCACAGTATTCGACTCAATTCGATTTGTTTACAACCCTACTCTAGTCTATCTAAATATAGCGAGTGTTTTTTGATATGATGATTATTTAAAGTGAAAGCGTGAAATGATCAAAATTATTGGGTAATTTGTCCTACATAGGAGTAAATGAAGTTTAGAATTCCAAAATAGAACTACTATATTTTTCCTTCTCGAAATAGGAGTTGTTACTGCTATAATTGAAAAAAATTGTCATTGATTATAATAAATATTGTCATGTTAAATGCACTACTCCCTCCGTCCCTTATAACTTTGCCAACTTTCCTTTTTTGGATGTCCCATTAACTTTGCCACTTTCCCATTTAAGTAAAGAATTTATGGTTCCAATTAATTCTCTCTCCTCTGCACAAACCTCAACCACACAGTTTTTACTTTATTAATCAACGTGCCAGTCAAACTTGGCAAAGTTATTAGGGACAGAGGGAGTATACTGCAATTATTCGACAGTCACGCCTATAAGATGTACTGTCGTGTTAGTCCTATTTCGAGAATAAAAACATAGTAATCCTGTTGTTTTTGGGAATTCCAAACTTTCACTTACTCCTATTTTGAGAAATCTCTCGGTTATTGAGGTTTGGAGGGTGTTTGGAGGACAAAAAAAAGGGCTGAAAAGCCTGAAAATGCAAAAAAGTAGCCAAACACTAGCCAAATGGGCTGTTAGGGCTGTTTTTTCTGATCAGCCAAGAAAGTAACGTAAGTATTACTTTTTGAGCTGGAATTTATTAATGTATTGTTGCACATCCATAAGTACTCCTTTACCCTTTTGCTTTACGCTAATACATAGCTACGCCTAATACATCACAGGCCATTGCTCGACTGCACTGTCTATTTGGAATTCATCTTTTCATTCATCCTTATCCAATGGTTTCATCAAAGAGCACGTTTTCATCACTAATTCTATTTTGTAATTGTCTTGAATCTACGGTTGAATGCAGAATTCCTTATGAAATTATTTATGTCATCTTAGTAAATAGATTGATATACATAAGAAATGCAAGTGTATATCAAGTCTTCATTCTTCTCGATCGATTTGAGATCTGGTAAAGCTAGAAGATTGGAAAATTAATAGTGATAAAAGTTGTTAAATTTGGGAGATTAACATGAAATGAAATTGACTATTTCTGCAAATAACATCCTATTATGTATTTTCTTTGTTTAATGTATTCTCATACACATAATGAACTCTAATTAATACTTATGTGTATTGTATGTTTAATTTTATTCCAATTTAAGTGCATGTTCATTTGTTAATATAATTTAGAAAAAGTGCATTTATTTAATTAATTTACTCAAATTAGTCACAAAATATAATACTAATGTCGCTCATACGAAAATACGTTTTTTTCGGAAAGTAGTTGTTTAAAACCATATAAAATTCAGCGTAAGAGTAAGAATGAAATTTCCACACTAATCAATTATTTAAGTTGTCTTATAATTGCCTAATCAAGCAAAACTAGTTTATTAGTAAAATTCACACCCATATATTTAACACAAATATAAGCTAATACTCTTTATAGTAATTTATACACTCAATCAATTATTCCAGCCAACATATTACCAAACACTTTCAGTTCAGGCCTCAGCAAATTCAGTCTTTTCAGGCTTTTCAGCCATTCAAGCTGATGCAGGCCCTTGATTAGCTGATGTTATCTAGTGCGTAACTAATTTGATTTGGGAAATCCTCCTTCCGAAGGAAACATATACGGAGTACTCTAAGCATAATCCGCTCGAAAGTTAGAGCTGGTTACGTTTTCACTTCGTTTTCAGTAACAATGCTTCAATGAAATGCTGTAATTCCAAAGCGAAAAGATTGTAGGATTTCTCATATGTGTCACAGGTGAGGCCGGAATGGTAGATCTTGGTTGGAGCTCCATCAATGGCAGCTACTTTTAATTTCCAAAATATTATTACATGCACCTTTCAACATCAACATACCGTGAAAAGGTACTATTTAGGGGAGGGGGGCTGTACACATTTACACCTACCGGCTACCGGACATGAGTTCCTTCCTTTAAAGATGTATACTCTCTATTATGACTATCCTGTCACGTCAAATCTCTCTATCGTACACGGAGTATCTTCCATACGAAGTATACATATACAGAGCATATACTATTTTGAGAGATTGAAGGTGTCACAGAGGTAAGTATATAATTCAAATCCTACAAGATGAGATGTTACTATCTAAAAATGCATAGGTCAGAGATCCTCAAGAATGAAAACTTGGAATGCCATCATCAAGATATTAATGGAAGATTAAATTGATAATAAGACATATTATTATTGGAAGCGTGACTGAGTGACAGAGAAGTTTGATGAGATTATTAGATAAATCATTTGGGATTGAAATATGAATCTAGATATTATTTCAAGATTGTTATGAAATTAGAGATAATTAATTAGTGTCGGACTTACAAAAGATGTGATTATTTTGAGATTATGAAGATGTAATTTAGAAAGTGTGAGATTATTTTGAAAATCTCTGTCATAAAAAATCTGTTTATTTAGTGAGTTAGCTAATAACTAATAAATTGGATTCGAACATGTAGTAGTTTAAAGAACAAAATGGGGTTAGTTAGTTAGTATATACTGTCTCACCCTGTTAAGATTATCCGTCTTTTCATTTAGATTCGTCCTCAATTATCTCCTACCAAATTTGATAATATAAGTCTCCAAACAAATATACATAGTATTAGTGTATAATCCCTCCGTTCCACTAACAATTGGACAAGAGGGAATGACACGCAAACTAATAAAAAGTGGTTATGTGGTTAATATTGAATTGATAAAGTAAGAATAAAGTAAAAATGATTTAGAGTCACACAAACTTTGCCAATTTTGTATGAGTCAATATTAGTGGGATGGACCGAAATGGTAAAACGGAACAATCTTAGCGGGAATGAGGTATTAACATTTATTTTTGGATAACGCAACAGGAAAAGTAAAACGTACGGAGTATAAAATAAGACCGATGTAACAATACACAAGCAGGACAGAAAACACATGCATAACCGCAAAGTATGTTGAGAGGCACTTCGTGTCAGTTTTTAGTTTCTTTTAAAGAAATTTTAAGTTTTTGTTCTTGGTCCAAGTCAAACATGACAAAGTACTAGGAGAGGAAGGAAGATGTAAGCTAGAAACTTCATTTGTAAAATAATCATGGAATTTGTTGTACCTTTCTGAAGCAAATCATGGAATTTGTTCACAAGTAGTTGCATTTCATGCATGCAATCGTGCATGTCATAGTTTTGTACCAGATGAGCTAAAACCCAAAATTATAGGTGCAGTTGCCAACAGATATGCATGTGTCATAACAGATGGAGGTCATACATGCATATCTCCCTCAGCCTCAGGGATATAACGGGTATGGAGGAAAATGCAGGAAATACATATCACGCTTTGAGTTTCAGGTCGAATCCTGCCAGGTGCCAAATGATCCCTTGTAAAAATAAAAAGTAAATGTACAGGCGAAGGTTGAGCAGTTGGCTGCTTTCAGCCTTCCACCATCCTACAATATTGTGTTAGTCTTAAATGATCAAAACAATGTATACACTGCAGTAAAAGTGCAAGATCGGCTCGCGTTCTGCATAGCCCGGCCTCAGTTGTAGCCAATGTTTAAGCCGGGGGACCATTGGCATTCGTTGGTGTGTTGAACACCGCGTTAGGTTGAGATGAATGTGAACCCAAGCTCAAACGGTTTAAAAACTGCAACAACATAAAATGTAGAGAAACGTTGTTTAGATTTTGGGTTCCATTTTAGATCATTCATCTTTGTGTATTCATTAGAATTCGTTCCAAATCGGAGTAAAACAAAGACATTTTATTCCAAAAATAGAAGTTATTTAGTTCTACTAAAAGTATAAAACTTTCCTTATTAGGAGTGAATGAACTCTATTCTAATCCCATTTAAGATAATTTTCTCTGTATTAATCTATGAATAAAGTACTATCGTATTTCATATTAGGTCGTTATGGGATCACTAAACAAGTACATGTATTTCTGTAATGTAGAAAATCGAAAGAATTAAGCAAAAAAAACCTGGGAAGGATTTTGCATAGGGTGGAAGCCCATAAAACCGGCAAACTGCTCGGGAAAATTTGGGGGTTTCATCTGATTCTGAAAGTTGATCATGGGATTCATCATTGCCGCGGCTTGGCTGGGTGTGGAAGCCATAGAAGGTGCAGCAGCACCAGCAGCAGAATGATTAACCATAGGAGGCCTTGGTAAATGCATTCCCATAGAAGGCATTGTTGGTGGAACCATTCCCATCCCCATTCTTGACATGTAGGGTTGCACTCCTGAGAACATCATAGATGCCATTCCACTCCCCATCCACATCATCTGTAATTTTTTGACATCATGCAAATATGTAACATGAAGGAGTAAGCCTTTGAAATTGGATAGCACTTTTTATTTCTGATTCTATACTAAAAGATCAACTTAATGGAGTAGTAATCAAAATTCAAACCTGAAGTTGCATTTGTAGTGACTTCAAATATTCAATTGCCTCATCTAGCATAGATGCTTTATCTGTCTGAAACAATAGAGGGCACAAGACTTGTGTCATAAGTTACATCAAAATTTATCTAAAAAGATTCAACAAAGTTGAAAATGATCACAAAGAACGAGAAATACCTTGGTGGAGTGAGGGAGAAGCTCCTGCAAGGCCTTCATCTTCTCATTGATTCTATCTCTTCGCCTCTGTACAAAAACAGAAACAGTGGTTCATGCCAAGCAGTATAAGGGTGTGGTTGGATGAAATGAAACAAAAGTTTGGGAGCTTTATTACATTTTTTATCTATATGCAACTAAAACTTGTATACATTTTTTAAAAATGACTCATAAACTTAAACATGACTTTATATGAATCATAACCTCGGTTTAGTTATAGTCCTAAATCTTACTACCTTCATCTCATTTATATTGTCTCTTTACGGTTTACCGGTTTACGATGTTTGAAAAACATTCTAAACTATCAAGATACTTATTAAGCCCCTTGTAAAATTTCATTCCAAAAACCACTCAAATCCTCCATCACGACCCTAATAAGGGTCTGTTTGGATGGAGCGTTTTGGAGGGATGGTTTAGTCCATATCTTAATAAATAAAATATTTCTTGACACAAAAGAAATAAAATATTTCATTTTAATGAATAAAGATCGATATATTCTAAGTATTATTGTTTATCACCAATTATCTTTTATATTGGTATAACTTAGGCCTCCCCTCCAATAGAAAAAACGGAAATTTTCCAAATCAAGAGTAAAAATAATGTACAACTCTATGTGTTTCTCGAAACAAAAGTAAATTCATTTTGGAATCATACCATCATATTCTCACATTAAAGAGCATTATTAATATCTATTTCTTAATCATGCAAGTAATTACTATTCAGTACTCTTTGGGGGAAAATGTACTCCATATTACAATATTGTTTCCGAATTTGAAATTTTTGGTACTTCTAACAAACTAATTTCTTAAGAAAAAACAACTACCAATTCAAAACTAGACCTAAAAAAAGAGTTGAAGTGGATGACCGAATCGTACCCTTTCAGAGAGGTTATGCACCTCAGCAGAACGGCTCCGGCGAGTGGTTCCAGACTTTTGGGATGACTTGTTTCTATCACCCAATTCAAAGTCATCCGCCTACGCACACAATAATAATAATAATAATAAACTAATTCAATTGTGACTGCAAGCAAACACACTATTTAATCCAAACGACAATCAATTCATTAACCTAAGATCGGATTAAAATAATTTTGATGTAATTAATTAAGGTAGTGTCAATATATATAGGTAATAAAAAGAATATACGTAGTATAATCAATCAGGAGGGAGTATTATTACATTATGATACGGATTAATTCGTACCTCATCATGTTGGCATTCGGACTCTTCTGGATCCCGAGCTTTTCTTTTACGAATGTTTACACTGCCGCCGCCGCCGTCGCCGCCTTTGGTTGTAACAAAGGTGCTGCTGCCCGACCTCCCCGAAGAAGATGACGTGGCAGCCGTTTCTTCCTCTCCCAGCAGCTCCGTTTCAGGACTCACTCGTTTCTCATCATCTTCGGTCACTGCTGCGGACAAACACCGCCTATCTCCGCCGCCGCCGTTCCCTCCCCCGCCGCCGCGTGAGTTCCTGTTAAAAGTCGGATCAATGGCGACCTGATTGCTCCCGCAGTGGCTTGACCCCACTGTCATCACCGAACATTCTCTCCCATGGGGATCTTCCCCCCGCGGCCTATTCCGCAAGTTGTTCAAGATCTGAGCTCCGGGCGGCGGCATAGCCGGAGCATGACTATTATTATGGTTGGGGGGTTGTGATAAACCGAATATGTCCAGAGCTGCTACTGGGTGAGCGGATGGGATTTCGGGTAAAAAAGGCCCGCACAATTCTCTCTCGAATGAATCATAAACGACCGGGTAGTTCAGCCAGGAAGCTGCGTCCTCGTTCTGAATCAAACCGCCGCCGGTCGGGTTCCCCAGAACACTTCCGGCAGCAATGGAAGTGGGCGGGTCGTGTTTGACCGGTTGACTCGCCTCGTTCGGATCCGCGGCAGGTTTTTTGAGTGTTTGGCTGTGCATCACAACCTGCCCGTTCCTCCATAGCAGCTCCACCAGGTTATGGTCTAATCTGTATTGAATTGGCCATATATATACACACCAAGATTAGATCAATTATGCATTCCATATGTAGCATAAAAAATACAAACCAACACATAAAGAATCGATTGAAGGAAGGAGGTGAGATTGAAGAGTTACTAGCTGCACTAACCCCACAGGTGACTTCTTCTGGTTTCCGAGAGGGATTTCATCATCAATGAACCATTCAGGAATACCGGGATGATTCATGGCTGCAAATGGTCCATTTTAAGGAAAATCATCAGAAGGCATACCATATTTAGTTTGCAGCACAGTAAATGGTGAAGGAAGGATAAAATGAAGGGCACAAATGGAAGAGGTTAAGGAAAGAGAGAAAGAAAGGGCACAGATGCGCGCTGTTTGTGTGTGAATATACTACCTGACCAAGAAATTAACAGCTAGCAATTGAATTCTCCGAGGAAAAATTGTGTCTTTTGCTTTTTTCCTGTAAATGGAAAGGGGAGGGAGAAGAAGAGACTGGCAATAATGTGCTAAACTGTACGTCATAAATAAAAATAGATATAGTAATCATGCAACTACCACGTACATCGGTACATAGGCTGTTGCCACTCATTGAACAAGCTAAGATAGAATAAATGAATGAATAATGGTTGGGTCATCTCTCCCTCTCCCTCTCCCTCTGGGTGGAGACTAGACTGGACTAGAAGCGGTGCAAGGAGGAAAAGAGACAGCAATGTGGGGTAGGACCGAAGCACTTTCCAGTTGCAGTGGTTACGACTATGATGGGGAGAGAGAACTTTCGCCATTATCATGACATGACACGTGGCGTACCACTGCTGATACTCGCTGTCTGTTACTGGGCCCTTCCAGCAAGCCTCTTTCATTTCGTTTCTCAGTAAAAAGATCTCCGAGTTCCAGCCTTGTTGCCACGTCTGCGGTAAATACCCTATATATCCCGCGCTACTTTCTCATGGTCTTCTCTTGTGTACCTGTGGGGTGGGATCGGGATGATTTCGATCTCGATTGCCCAAATCTCGATTCAAATTACAAGAGAATCTCGTACCTTGTCCCAATTAAGTTGGGATTCCGACATTAAAATCTCGATTAAGTCGGGATCTCGATCGGGAATCCCGCTAAATCCCGACAATGAAGTATCAAACATAAAATTCATCGAGATCGGGATTATCGAGATCGGGATTGTCCGTATCGGGAGTCGGGAGTCGGGAATTTTTTTCCCAGCCCTACATGTATGATGTATCTGGGTGTGCATGGGCCAAATTCCTCCGTATTTTGTTGAGTTTAGAAGATTTTGTATTTTATTCCTTATTTATTTACGAACTATAAATTCATTGTGACCGTCAGATGTGTGGATCTATAGAATATAGATACAATGACATTTTGATAATTAAACCAAATTTTTTCCAATTGCGATACTTTGAATATCAATATACAATTGCTTATTGAATTGCAAAACAGTAACAATTGCTTATTGAATTGCAAAACAGTATGCAACACTTTAAACGGCAACATGCAATAAAAATAGCTTACTGTTGCAGTAAGCTTAAATTTTGATTTAAAATTGTTTCATGATGCACTAAATTTGAGGATGTTGCACCAAAATAGTTTCATGTTACACTAGACAAATGTCATTTCGACTTTTCAAAAGTATTTGTGAAAATGTCATCATGCTAGATTGCATATTTATGTGAACCTTATTCAAAAACATTTATTTTATTGATAGAAAAAGAGAGTACAAGTAGCAGAACATGTGGTCGGGGTTAGTGGGTTACTAGGGATAGTGTACATGAATATATATTAATACTATATGTTCATGCAATTTTACTAAATACTACGGAGTATGATTATACGATAAACGAAAATGCGCTGTGTACACGCCGGCTTACACGCCCGTGTACACAGCTTAAAAAGACCACCCCCTGCGGAACTAACCCATTTAAACCTCCATCCTCTCTCCTCCCCATTCCAGAACGCGACCCCTTCTCACCCAACGATTTGTCTGTCCTATTATTTTCGTTTGTCTGTGAGCATATTCTTCTCTAAAGTGGTGGTCTTCTTGCTGTGAACGGGTGATCGGCTTTGTAAGGCGGCGACGACGACCGGCATGGAAGCAAATAACACCACTGGCGGAGAAGACGAACTGGACCTGCGTTGGACATGGCAGGATATTTTTGGTCCGAGTCCCGCTAACACTCCACTCCCGATGGAAGGGTGTGAAGTAGCCACGGAGGGAGGGATTCATGATCATGAAGACGCAATGGAGGAAGGAGTTGAACACACTCCGGCTGCGACAGAAGGCGATGATGGGGCGGCGGATGGCAAAACTGTGGAGGGTGATCAAGGTAGGTGGTTATATAGCATTGTCTCTTCATGGTTGCTAAGTGGTTGTGTAATGAAGCTTAACAAACAACACACAGACAAATTTTTATGTGGTTGTGTAATGTGGTTTCTTTATGTATTTCGTTGTGAGTTTTCTGATCATATGAGAACCCATTATGAAGTTCATAGACTTGTATAATCTTGTCTTCATTTCTTCTTGTAATTGGTTTGATCATTCTTTACACTTGTCTGTATTGCATTGAATATTGTCTGTATCAGATAATATTTTATTCATTTGTTCTTGTAATTGGTTTGATGATTAGTCTGTATTTCATTTGATAATGTCCGCATTTATAATCTTCTCTTTATTTGTTCTTGAAGTTGGTTTGATAAACAGGTCAAACTTGTCTGTATTGCATTGAATATTGTCTGTGTGTTATAATATTTGATTCATTTGTTCTTGTAATTGGTTTGATGATTCTTTGTAGTAGTCTGTATTTCATTTACTAATGTCTGCATTTAGTAATCTTCCCTTCATTTGTTCTTCTAATTGGATTGATCATTCGTCAAACTTGTCTGTATTGCATTCAAGGAAATCTGTATTTTATAATACTTTATTCATTTGTTCTTGTAATTGGTTTGATGATTCTTTTAAGTAGTCTGTATTTCATTTAATAATGTCTGCATTTAGTAATCTTCTCTTCATTTGTTCTTCTAATTGGATTGATCATTCGTCACACTTGTCTGTATTGCATTGAATAATGTCTGTATGTTGTAATATTTTATTCATTTGTTCTACTCTTTGGTTATGAACTGGTTTGTTTGTATTTCATTTTATAATGTCTGTATTTAATATTATTTTATTCATTTTTTCTTTGTAAGTGGTTTGATCATACCTTGTCTGTATTGTATTTATTAATGTCTGTATTTATACAAATTTGTCTGTATCTATATATTCTTAAATCACAGATGCATATGCACAGGAAGACAAGGAAGAAGATGTTTTTCTGGTTGTTCCAGAAGTGGGCATGAAGTTTGAAAGCCCAGACGCGGTGTTTGAGTTTTACAAAAAATATGCTAGAAGTGTAGGATTCCCGGCTAGAAAAAGAACATCTACTAAGGATAGATGCAAGGGCGAGGTAGTGTCAATAGTAATAGAGTGTTCACGGGCGGGAAGTAGAGCTCGCAGTACTTATGTTGGGTCATGGGAAATAGCCTCAACCTTCAATGCAAACATCTTGTTCCGCAAGAATTAGAGCTCGCAGTACTTATGTTGGGTCATGGGAAATTTCAAAAGTGTTTCTAGAACATATGAGTCCCACAAAATCTAGACTATATCGTTGCAATAGGAAGTTGACATCAAATGCGATGAGACATCTTGCAATTAATGACGTTGCGGGAATTCCACTTAACAAGAGCTTTAACTCCGTTGTTGTTGAAGTGGGGGGGGGGGGGGGGGGGTATGATGCCCTACCCTTTATTGAAAAGGATTGTAGGAATTACATACGAAAAATTAGTGGAAATCCATACAAACTGAACTTCGCATTGGTGTATTCCGGCTTACTTTCCTTCTTGTCATTGAACTTCTTTGGCTGGCATTTCATCGTCTTTTTTAGGCTTTTGACCGTCTCCTTATAGGACTCCACCGACCACGGACAACTTTGAAACAGCTTGAAGTCATCAACCAAGCGCAAATAATCCGGATGGATCCTTGTTGGCGGATCCCTGGCTAGGAGACAACAATGGACCAAAAACAATGAAGCCAACTTCACACGGTCCATGAAATTTTCTCCGTCACGGCTTACATCATCGCATCCGAGTTCTAAAATCTTATCCTTTAGCTTGCCGTAAGTAACATCATTGCATCCGCCAAAGTATTTGTCAACGACTCCCAAACACTGTTCATCAACCTCATACTCTGGCCACTGGACAGGATCTTGGATACCAGTTATCCTTTTGAAATCCTCATAAGTGAATTTCAGCAACTTTCCTTCCACTGCAAACCACATTTCATCATCAGGCTGGCCACGCACAAGGCGTAACAATAACAGGTGAATGAGTTGAGCTGAGAATTGTATGTGTGCAGCATTCACTAAGTGTCCCCAAGGCGTCCGAAGAAACTTCACCATCTGCTTCACGGAGAGAAACTCGCTCAGCATATCGAAGGCCTCATCGAAGCTGGTCCGTACAGAATATTGGGCGGGAAATTAATCTTTGATTGGAATTTGCAATTCCATCCTGAAAAATAGTGACATAGAAATTTGTCAAAAACACAGACATCTCATGTATACACAACACATGCTGACAGACTTCTCAATAAAACCATATAGACAACTGAAAAAACAAACAAACATATACAACAAACTACACAAACATCTCAGGGAAACTATATAGACAACTATAAAAGACACAAATATATATTAACACAGTACACAGACATCTAAGGAAAACCACACAGACAACTATGCTAGCCCCAAACGTATAACAATGTACAGAGCTATAACCATATAAACAACTATAAGTTGCACAAACATATAAGAAGACACTATACAGACATAGCAGGAAAACCATATAGTGAACTACAAAAGACACAAAGATATAGTCGTATTAACAAAGTACACAGACATCTAAGAAAAACAACACAGACAACTCTGCTAGCCAAAAGCCTCTAACAACAATGTACAGCCATCTCAGGAAAACTATATAGACAACTACAAAAGACAAAAACATAAATTCATACAGTACACAGACATCTAATGAAAATGATCAACCATATAAGGAAAAATATATATTCACACACTACACAGACGTATCAGGAAAACCATAAAGACACCTCTGTTATCCACATACTTATAACATCACACTACACAGACATCTCAGTAAAACCATATACACAACTCTACAATGCACAAACATATAACAACACACGATACAGACATACGAAAAACCAAAAAGAAGGGTGAAATACAAGGTATTAATCACATAAATAGAACCATGAAACCGACACAGACATCTTACAAAAACCATAACGAAGAATCAAAATTACAAAAACTTATAAGAATTAACACAACACACTACACAGACATTTGAAAGAACCATAAACATCTCAAAACAGGACGTGTGACATGCAAACAGACATCTGAGTAAACCCACAAAGACAACTCTAAAATCAACAAACATATAACAAGTGTGACACATACAGTACACAACAAGGAAAAACAAAAATCATTACACAGACGTTTTGAACAAACACAGACATGTAGTCAAAAGCAATCACAGTAGTTTGAAATAGAAATTTTGAGGAGGTTGGTTGCAGAACATTACCTTTGAGCCAAATCTGTCAAAGAAGTGCGCACCATTTTCGTTGTACACTTTCACTTGTGCTTCCGATTTGCCTCGACCACGGCCTTCAACTTCTTTCGTTACTACGGATGGGTTCTAAGCAGACCAGGGTGGACAGGGTATGGTGGGGTGAAGCAGACCACGGACGGATGGGTTGTGGGATGGGTTTCTTCTGTTCGGAACGCGGTTTCGTGGCGGAGAACGGAGAAGACGACGGCGAGAGGAGTTCGATGGAAGAAGGGAGTGGGTTCGAATGGTTTTTCTCTTCTTGTGGGTTTTTGTTGGTGTGGGGATACGTGAGAGAGAAGTGAGGGGGTGGCGGGTGGGGAATCGGGAAAGAGAAGAGAGGGGGTGGAAGGGAAACTGGGCGCACGTGGAGGATTTTTGGGGTGATGATTTCGGGAGACAGGGGGTGGGGTGGGTTAGTTCCGCAGGGGTGGTCTTTTTAAGCTGTGTACACGGGCGTGTAAGCCGGCGTGTACACAGCGCATTTTCGTACGATAAATACTATATGTTCATGCAATTTACACCAAAGATAGATGCATTAAGGATGCTTGTGACAAATACTCCCTCCGTTTCTATTTGGTTGACACACTTTCCTTTTTTGGACGTTTCAAAATGAATGCTACACTTCTTTATTTCCTTATTTGGTAAACAAATTTTTACCTAAACAGTGCAAAACAGTGCCGAACAGTGTTCAAACAGTGCCAAACAGTGTTCAAACAGTGCCAAACAGTGTTCAAACAGTGTCAAACAGTGTACTCTACAGTAAAATTTACCCCTCAATAACTTTTTTCCCTTAAATCTTGACAAGTCAAACTGTGTCAACCAAATAGAAACGGAGAGAGTATTACATAGTACTCCATTTTCAATGAGAAACGTTCCTCATACTTCGCGACCCATTACTGGTTCAAGACAGGTTGGCCAATTTCGAACTCTATGTGCTCTATCAATCAATTCCCGGTCAGATTCTGGAACTTGAAGAATGCCTACTTATTAAGAGCCACAGACAAAAAAAAATGCATAAATATTTGGGAGAGTTATAAAAGAAAATGACACATATAGATATCAATCAATAAGTTAATTAAAAGTAGACAACTATGCATAATTTATAATAATGACATGGAAATGAATGAAAGTTTGAATACACTTACTACTTTGGATTTTGTAGACAACAAATAACAATGCATAGTTTTATCAAAACACCCTGTTATTTTTTATGTTTATGTACTACGTATAATATACCGCTTAGTAATTCCCTTCAACATTATCATTACAATCGTGTAATCAAACAAAACAAATTAACAATGCCACCTTTCTTATTTTATGCAACAATAGTCATCAACATTCAATAGTGATTGTCTTGTACAACACAGTACAAGTACGGCCTTTCACGTTTCAAAATAAAAATTAATTAGACCACCAAAGTTTATTGATTATACAATTTAATTAGTTTGAATTCACACTAATCTTGTCTAGGCAAGTGGAGAAAATTTGGGCACCTACTAATCAATGAGGTTGGTCTCCCTTTGGACACACAATTTCGGGCCCCTTATATAGTGTAGGGTGGTCACCCATTCACCCGGTTTCAATTTCTACTCGTATCACATATATCTTCCCACTTCCAAAGTGGGTGAGATTAAGAATAGTGAAATGGGGTATGAATTATTGAGGGTATGATGGGAAGATGTTGAAATAATGTGATGGAATGAAGGATAAATACAAAAAAAGTAGGTGTAGTAGTGTATTATTTTTTAAATTATTGAGGGTATGATGGGAAGATTTAGAAATGAGAAGATATAAATGTTACGTCCAAAAAAGGAAAGTGAGAAGATATGAATGTTACGAAGGTCGTATATTCCAGCAAACCAGTTATTACCGGATTTGGTAATATTAGTTTGATTTAAATTTATGTATGATAGATAATTAAGTATATTATTATTGTTATTATTATATCCTCATTCTTTCTTTTTTGCAAGACCCGTAAATTATCTAGAATGAGGATATAATAATAACAATTTACTCAATTATTGCTAAAAGACCAATTTTTTACCAATTACCACAATTTACAGCCGCATTATTCACAGCAGTCTATCCAGACGTCTCCTTCCTTGCACCTTCGTCACAGGTCAATTTTTCATGTGTCAATTGAAGCAACATGCAAACACATAGACCGACACAAACATCGTGCATATATAGATAACACAATTAATGGGGAATGTAAATCAGAACAAATCTAAATAAAGTAGATCACAACTTCAGTAGAGACCCCTCAGACCCTTATCAAACCAGATTAATTTAGACCTGCAATATGGTTAAAAATATTCATATCCAGTTGAAAACGTCCATGGAAAACTGTCATACCTCATTCCTCTTTCCAAAAAATAATTTGGTCCCAAATGTTGTCATATTTAATATTTTTGTGCATTGAAATATGAGATGCATTTAAATATTATTAATTGTTGTAGTAACACAAAACTATTTTGTAAGGAGATGTAATTACACTTTTACCCTTTCATATACTTCCGTTGTCCCATTTAAGCTTTCAAATTTGAATAGCACCCGTTTTATGGAAATGAAAGTCTCCTTTGGCTTCCTGAAATCCTCTTTTTTACCGAGTATAATTGTTGATGTAAAATGCACTGTTTTGCATTATGTTGTCATTACCCTTAAGAGTGGTCAAGTAAATTGATAGAAACTTATTTACCAAATAAGTAAAGGGAACTTTATTTAGGGACAATCATAAATGATTAAGGGACTAAGGGAGTATTTATTATATTCGTATTCGTATATGCTTTTTCATGAAAACAAAACGCAATAAATGCAAAGGAGTAGAGGTAACATGTCATACCTCGGCATTGAAATTGTATATGTTTCATAGACGACAGACTAGGGATGGACTGGGCCGGGCCGAACCGGCCCGGAACCGGACCGGCCCGCTACTGTGCGGGCCCGAACCGGACCGGGCCCGGTTGGCCGGTTCCGGGCTTTTAGCCCGTTTTGGCGGGTCGGGCGGGCCGGTTCCGGGCCCTGTTTTTGTTGAACCGGCCCGGGCGGTTCGGGCCGGGCCCGGTTCATTTTTTTTTTTTTTTTTTGGTTTTTTCAATTTTTTTTCTTTTCCTAGGGTAGGGCTGGGTGTTTTAGGGAGGTTTGGGGCGTGGGGGTGAGGGGGGGGGGGTAGGGAGATAACAAGAAAGTCAAAAAAAAAAAAAAAAAAAAAAAAACATTGAACCGGGCCCGGCCCGGCCCGGCCCGGTTAGGCCCGGACCCGGTATCAACCCGGGCCGGTTCCGGGCCCATGTAACCCGAAAAAAAGCCCGCCCGGGCCCGGCCCGGAACCGGAACCGGCCCGGCCCGGGTCCATCCCTAGACGACACACCAGCAAGCTGCTAATCAAACAATAATGCAACATTTTAAGGAATCTATAGTTCTAAACTCACTATCATAGACATACACAATAGCTGCTAATGGAGGAAACAATAACACAAGGTTGCAAGGAATCTATACACTCTATAGCCTTGTAGAGTTGTGCCTTATGTCCTGATCCCAATTCGCCAGGTAAAGTGACAGATACACTTCCAATAATTACCATAACATATGGTGCCATGAAAATACATTTTTGAAGGGGTTGCACCAAAAAATAAACAAAAAATAATCATTTGAAAATGACATCATTTAGTTGTAGTAGTAGAAATCTGAATGAGTGATCAGTGGTGAGAACTTTCTTATAGCTTTTCAACAGGAAACCCCATAACAGGCTTGATATGAGATGCCAAAGATCGAAGCTCCTCCACTTCTTCCTTAGTCAATCTCCAGCTTAGTGCGCCAGCAAATTCTTTAGCCTGCTCCGCATTTTTGGCACCCGGGATGGGGATCACATTATCCTGGCAAATTAACCAGTTCAGCACCACCTGTGACAAAAGGATATGAGTGACCGACCAACATGACAGCCACAAACAAGCATATATATTACTCCGTACTAAGTATATTCTTCCACCATTAAAAAAATGTGTTTGTTACTTCTCATTGTGCAATGGTATAAGTTATTGTTATCGGGGTTTAATAGAGCATTAGATGCAACAATATAAGTTATGGTGACAAGTGACGAGTTTTTGAATTTCCAAGTTTTCACAAGGATTGATACATTGTGAGGATAATTGCTATGATTGAAAGCCCGTTTAGTGAAACCGTTTTAAGATTTTTTTCTTCTAGGGGTTAGGGTGATGGTTCTCTCTTCTCTACGGCACCACCACCATGAGGGTGATTGGGTATAGAAGCCCTTGATTTTTCTCTAATTTCCTCTCACTTATTACCTTCGTCTCACAGCAACAAGTCCGGGAATATCAATGAAGGACACACACCCATTAGAAGCGTTTTGTGCATGACTGAAGATGCTAGGATGGGCGATAACTTAGAAGCCAAGGCAGTGAGATCTTTTATCAGACTGTCCCTAAGTTTACCACATTGAAGGATACTATGGCAGCTGTATGGCGGCCAAGTAAAGAAGTTTGTAGTATCACTTTAGGCTCTCGTCATTTCGTATGCCAATTTCTTTATGGAGTAAATGCAGCTAGGGTTATTCTTGACAACCCTTGGACTTCCAAGTTCCAAACAATGTTTTGTTGCCTTGCACAGTTGCACTGGACCAAGATGGCAGAAGTCCCACTTGAGATCCCATTGATTCATGCATGCTTTCGGGCTGAAGATCATGGTTAACTGTACCATTTCATGAAGGAAAAGATGATGCGCACGGCTCAGAATTTTTGGGTGTCTTTTAGTGGCTAATAAACACGGTTCTGAAACGTGCATGGTGGGCATACAAGGGGGCGCAGGTTTGACTGGATTGTCTGGATGTCAGTCACTCTCTGAAAGTCATATGTATTTGAAAATTCACTAGGAAGGTGGCTTGTGGTCGTGGGTGGACTTCAGGCACGAGACTGCCACCTCTGCTTTATCTGTGGGGTCATGACCTCATGGGACATCCTGATGTGTCCTGTCCAATAGCCCAACAGTGCTTGCTAACAGCCATTGGATTGGTGAGAATCCCTATAAAAGTTGGCTTAGGGCTGAACTAGGCGAGGGAGTCCTGTTAACTGCTCGCCTGCTAGCTGTACCAGCTTTTGGACCGATGGGGTGGAGAGCCCAGCGGGAGATGCCACGGTGATGGACAGTGTGGCAGAGAGTGGGGAAACTTATGTGTCATGTTCAATTTTGATCAAAGGGAAAGGTTTGGCAAAAGATGAGAAAACTTCAGAGGGGAGTGGAAGGGAAGTTTAGTTTGCTCAACCATAGGGGATTGCTTGTGTTTGGAAGCTAACATGGATAACCTAACACGGTTCGTGTTAGAAAAAGGAATAACGTCGGAGTTAGCTGGCTGCTAGCCAAAAAAGGGAAATAAGCAGGTGAAAGGGCAATAATGTTCAGAAGGCTGAATTGGGATGTGACCCGGTGGCGGAGGGTGTTGGCTACCCGTGGGGAGTACCAAAACAAATTTGTCTTGTAGTTCTTTATTTTCCATTCTTCTTCTTTAAAATATCTTTCCAGAAACATGTTAGCAGTTCTAATCTTGATTTTATATCCGCTTTGTGGTTAACAACCATCCTGGTTCTTCTTGGCAAGAGTGGCTCTATGCGACCTTAGAATGCTGTAAGGCTTGGTTCTTGTACTCGGCTTTTTCGCTTTCATCACTTTAAAATAAAGGAGTGTTTGCAAACACTTAAAAAACACTTTTCAGCTTTTGACTTGAAAAAGCAGAAAGTAGTGTTTTCAAAGACTTGCTTCTGCTTAAAAAGGCACTTTAAAGATAAAAGTTGGCCAGCTGGTATACACCAACTTCTAACTGCTTCTAGGTTTTATTGTAAATAACACAAACTCTAGGGATGATTATAATGCTAGCTATATTAATTCAATTCCAAAATACCCTCAAACGATTAAAACTCAAATGTGTACATCTCTCTTTGTAGCTTTCATCCCTTTCTGAATTTTGGCGACAAGATATATCATATATGGATGTGCAGTAGGCAACGGTGGCAACCGCTTCAATTTACCACCTGATAGAGAGCAGAGAGAGCAGGGGGGCTGTGTGGAAGAGAAGGGTCCGAGACCCAAGGGGCTGTCAGTTTACTGCAGGCGGGAACAGGCTTGAGCCCACCTTCGTGGGCTGGTTGCGGGCTGCTTAATTAATATTTATTCTTTTTAATTTTCCTGATTTGTTTCCTATTAGGAGTTAATTAGGATTTCTGTTATTTGTTTCCTATTTGAAGTTGCTTAGGATCTTTATTATTCTGTTTCCTAGTTGGAGAAGTTTGGAGTTGATTAGGATTTCTAGGATTTTGTTGTTAGAAATTAAACTTGGCTTAGCCCAATAATTGAGTCCATTACAAGTTAACTTATTGGGCTAATAGTTGTATGAGAAATAATAAATTAGTTAGCCCATAAGTTAGAGTTAGTAAAGAAAGATCTAGAATAGTCTTTAGTTAATGTACTTATTAAATTATTCTAGAATATTCCTAAGCTAGAATCCTATAGAACATTGTAGAATGCTTAGGACATAGGAGTGCCTAGAAGGATCCTATGAGACCTATAAATAGAGCACTCCTCACTCATTTGTAATAAAAGCCAAAGCTCCAAATCAATAAAAGTTTCAAGTTCTTCCAAAATCATCTCTCTCTAAAATTCTCTCTTCCACACACAATCACCTAAATACAATACTCATAAACTCCTTTATTCCAACAAAGTGGTATCAGAGCCATCAATCCTTTCAAGAAAGATGAATGCCAACGGCTTACTTCCCTTCCAATTTCCTCGTCTCACCAAAGATAACTACTCTAGTTGGTGCATTCGCATGAAAGCCTTGCTAGGATCTCAAGATGCATGGGAGATTGTTGAGAAAGGTTATGAGGAACCTCAAGATGATGCTACTTTAAATCAACCCCAAAGGGATAGTCTCCAAAGGAGTAGGAGGAAGGATCAACAAGCTCTCACTCTCATATATCAATGCTTAGACGAGGCCATGTTCGAGAAGGTTGCAAATGCCACCACTTCTAAAGAAGCATGGGAAATACTTCATAATTCTTTCAAAGGAGTCGACAAGGTGAAGAGAATTCGTCTTCAAAATCTTAGAGGTGAGTTCGAACAACTTAAAATGAAATATTCGGAATCAATATCTGATTATTTCTCTAGAGTGTTGGGAATTGTAAATGAGATGAAGAGAAATGGGGAGGAGCTAAAGGACATAACGGTGATTGAGAAAATCCTTCGCTCTCTCACCAAAGATTATGATTATATTGTGGTGGCCATAGAAGAGTCCAAGGATTTAGAGACCATGACCATTGATCAACTTATGGGCTCACTACAAGTCCATGAAGAAAGAGTTGTGAGAAATAAATCTGATGAATCATTGGAGCATTCTTTTTACTCCAAACTCTCTTTTAAAGAAAGATGGGATAATAGAGGTGAAGAAAGAGGCCAACGAGGTCGTGGTTATGATCGAGGACGTGGTGCACGTGGAAGAGGTGGTCGAGGTCGTGGTTATACAAAATTCAACAATGAAGAAAGAACTCAATATACACAAGCATCTAGAGGCCGTGGGAGAGGAAGCAAACCACAAAGGTACGACAAGTATCAACTAAGATGTCATAATTGCAATAAATATGGTCACTATGCATATGAATGCAAGAACTCTCATCATGTTAAAGAAGAGGCACATCTCATGGAGATGAATAACGAGGTAGAACTTACCTTGTTGATGGCAAATCATGAAGAACAAGCGAAGAAGAGCACATGGTATTTAGATACCGGAGCTAGCAACCACATGACGGGAGATAAAAGCTTGTTCGTGAAGGTGGAACATACTCAAGGTCATGTTACCTTTGGAGATGAATCGAAAGTCGTGGTGAATGGTAAAGGTAACGTTCTAATCCGCCTAAACGATGGAAGTCATCAATTCATTTCCGATGTCTACTATGTGCCCAACTTAAAAACAAATATTCTAAGTATGGGACAACTCCTAGAAAAGGACTATGATATTCACTTAAAGAATCGTAGTCTTTCTCTACGAGACAATAATGGGAGACTAGTTGCTAAAGTGCCGATGACTAGAAATCGAATGTTCTTGCTTGATATTAAAAAAGATCAAGCCATATGCTTGAAAAGTTGCTTGAAAGATGAGTCATGGATTTGGCACTTAAGATATGGGCACTTAAACTTTGGTGGCTTAAAAATGCTATCGTCCAAAGGCATGGTAAAAGGTTTGCCATTCATCAACCATCCCGATCAGCTATGCGAAGGATGCCTACTTGGGAAGCAATCAAGGAAACCATTCCCTAAAGAAATTGCCTCAAGAGCTAAGGAGCCATTGGAGTTAGTCCATACCGACTTATGCGGTCCTATTACTCCATGTTCTCATGGTAAAAGTAAGTACTTTCTCACTTTCATCGATGATTACTCAAGAAAAACATGGGTATATTTTCTGAAACAAAAATCAGAGGCCTTTGAAGCATTCAAGAAATTTAAGGCTCTTATTGAGAAAGAAAGTGGGTATGTTATTAAAGCCATGAGATCAGATCGAGGTGGAGAGTTCACATCAAAAGAGTTTAATCAATTTTGTGAAGATAATGGCATCCGTCGTCCCATGACTGTCCCACGCACACCACAACAAAATGGTGTTGCCGAAAGAAAGAATAGGACTATCCTCAACATGGCCCGAAGCATGCTAAAGACGAAGAATATGCCTAAAGAATTTTGGGCTGAAGCTGTGGATTGTGCCGTCTATCTTCAAAATCGCTGCCCCACGAAGAGTCTAGATGGAATAACTCCACAAGAAGCGTGGCATGGAGGTAAACCCGGAGTCTCGCACTTGAGAGTATTTGGATGCATTGCATATGCTCATGTTCCTGATCAGACTAGATCAAAACTCGATGACAAGAGCGAGAAGTTCATATTCATTAGATATGACAAACACTCAAAAGGGTACAAACTCTACAATCCGGATTTGAAGAAGCTTATAATAAGTCGTGATGTGGAGTTTGATGAAGAAGGCTCATGGAATTGGAGCATTGGCGACAAAGAAGATTATAGCCTCTTACCATCCATGGAACATGAAGAAGAAGTTGAAGAGAATCATGAAAATATAACTGCTCCACCATCTCCCACTCAAGCTCAATCTTCGCCACCAAGTTCGGATGAAAGAGAAGTACCACGCATGAGAAGCATTGAAGAGCTTTACGAGGTAACACAAAACCTGAACTCAAATGATGAACTTACACTCTTTTGTCTATTTGGTGATTGCGAGCCACTAAGTTTTGAAGAAGCCACAAGAAACAAGAAGTGGAGAGATGCAATGGATGATGAGATTAAGTCCATTGTGAAGAACAAAACATGGGAGCTAGCCACACTTCCATCAAATCATAAAGCAATTGGAGTGAAGTGGATATTTAAGATCAAGAAAACTGCAAAAGGGGAGGTTGAGAAGTACAAAGCAAGACTAGTGGCCAAAGGCTACGCCCAAAGACATGGCATTGATTATGAAGAAGTATTTGCGCCGGTTGCTAGATTGGAAACAATAAGATTGATAATTGCACTCGCGGCTCACAACAAGTGGAAGATACATCAAATGGATGTCAAGTCCGCATTCTTAAATGGGTTCCTAGAAGAAGAAGTCTACATTGAGCAACCCGAAGGTTACAAAGTCAAAGGGCAAGAAGATAAAGTGTTGAGGCTAAGAAAGGCTCTTTATGGGCTTAAACAAGCACCAAGAGCTTGGAATAGTAGAATTGACCAGTACTTTCAAGCTAATGGATTCGTGAAGTGTCCACAAGAACATGCACTATATGTAAAGAAAAATCATCAAGGAGACATATTGCTCGTGTGCATATACGTGGACGATCTCATCTTTACAGGTAATAATATGACGATGTTCGATGAGTTTAAACAAGTCATGACAAGGGAGTTCGAGATGACTGACATTGGGCTTATGAGTTACTATCTTGGCATCGAGGTGAAGCAAATGGATGATGGTATATTCATCACTCAAGAAGGATACGCGAGAGAAGTACTCAAGAAGTTCAACATGGAGGACTCCAAACCTGTAAGTACACCTGTCGAAAGTGGACTAAAGCTATCAAGGTATGATAAAGGAAAATTGATTGATCCAACTTACTTTAAGAGTCTTGTGGGAAGCTTAAGATACTTAACATGTACAAGGCCAGATATTCTTTTCGGTGTTGGACTTGTTAGTCGATTCATGGAGGCCCCCACAACAACTCATCTAAAGGCCGCAAAAAGGATTTTGCGATATCTCAAAGGCACCGCCGAATATGGATTGTTTTACTCTTCATATGATGAGTTTAAGCTAGTTGGATATTGCGATAGTGATTGGGGTGGAGATATCGATGACCGCAAGAGCACAACTGGGTTCTTGTTTTACCTGGGAAACACTGCTTTCACATGGGTTTCAAAGAAGCAATCGATAGTCACTCTGTCCACTTGTGAAGCCGAGTACGTTGCAGCAACATCAAGTGTTTGTCATGCAATTTGGCTCAGGTACATTTTGCAAGCTCTCAGCATGTCTCAAGAAGAAGCAACAACAATATTCGTGGACAACAAGTCAGCTATCGCATTAGCAAAGAATCCAGTGTTTCATGATCGAAGTAAGCACATAGACACTCGATATCATTTCATCCGGGGAAAGATAGCGAAGAAGGAAGTTCAAGTAGAGTATGTTAAGACTCAAGACCAAGTCGCTGATATTCTCACAAAGCCACTCAAGCATGATGTCTTTGCAAAGATGCGGGATCTACTTGGGGTGCTAAGTCAAGTTTAAGAGGGGATGTTAGAAATTAAACTTGGCTTAGCCCAATAATTGAGTCCATTACAAGTTAACTTATTGGGCTAATAGTTGTATGAGAAATAATAAATTAGTTAGCCCATAAGTTAGAGTTAGTAAAGAAAGATCTAGAATAGTCTTTAGTTAATGTACTTATTAAATTATTCTAGAATATTCCTAAGCTAGAATCCTATAGAACATTGTAGAATGCTTAGGACATAGGAGTGCCTAGAAGGATCCTATGAGACCTATAAATAGAGCACTCCTCACTCATTTGTAATAAAAGCCAAAGCTCCAAATCAATAAAAGTTTCAAGTTCTTCCAAAATCATCTCTCTCTAAAATTCTCTCTTCCACACACAATCACCTAAATACAATACTCATAAACTCCTTTATTCCAACATTTGTTTCCTAGTTTGAGAATTAGTAGATGGGTATTTAAATCCCTTGTTATGATTCATTCTGGCTCATCTTGGAATAAAATTAGTTTTAGCATTTTTGCTCTTGGCAACGGTATTTTTATCGTTGATTATATGGGCAACGGTTCACCCCGTTGATTTTATTTTTCTGTTACACAACACCACCCGTGTGCAGCGGAAGAAGAATCTAATGTGGACGAATACATGCCCAACCATCACCGGCGCGTCAATCGCGGACCAACACCCAATTTCTCACAACCATTCTGTTATGATCCCACACCGGTCAATTATGGGATTGATTGGTGGCTGATAAGCAAGGTGTTACCTTCTCCTAATCGGCTGGTCTTTTAGGAGTGAGTTCTACACCTGGGCTTATGGCACTGGTATGGGCCTAGTATGCCCAGGTGCCATAAGCCCAAGTGTAGAACTCACTCCTAAAAGACCAGTCGATTAGGAGGAGGGAACACCTTGCTTATAAGCCACCAATCAATCCCATAATTGATCGGTGTGGGATCGTAACAACCTGCTGTCTTGTGTGGCAAAGAGACTGTTCCAACCTGCTATCTTGTGGGACTTCTGCGATTTTCTCCACTGATGTAAACAAGGAGGGGCTGATGGTTTGAGGATATGCAAGGGCTTTTGTGTACTTTAACAAAATGTTACCTCAAAAATTACTTTTTTTATCACACACCCCAACCTTAACTTTTTTACTAGAATCACTTTTGTTTTGAAACAGCACTATCTTTAAAAGCACTACAATAAATCACTTTTTTTAAGTTGAAGCGATCGCAAACACTTTTTAAGTCTTTTCCCCCAAAACATTTAGTGACTCCAATGAGAACAATATCCTAGCTTGTTTTACTCATATCTCTATGTTCAACTGTACAAAAAAAAACTGGCTATATCAAGGGAAAAAACATATATATGCAGTATAAGTTATCCAAGTTCGGAATGTACCCCCAATGGGGGGGGCATCAGGAGTTCATCCCAGATCCTTACGCTATGTATGAATCCCAGAATATACTAGAGAAAGGAAAGAAAACACGTACTAAGATGAATCATTTTGATATGTTTGGATTTACCTTGGAAAATGCCAAAGTAAATGAAATATGTATGGATGATTTAATAATATTTGTAAGTATTCAGATTACTTAGTATTTATATATGAATAAATAAATAAATAAAATTGATTTCAAACAAATATTAAAATTAAATGATTCGCCTAAATGTCTAATATGAAGTTTATCCTTGACGTTTTCTTTCCTTCATTTTTGTCTAATACATTCCTCCCTATTTCCTTTCCCAGGCATTTTGTGAATTCCAGACACATCCTTGGGCTCAATTTGGGATAGCAGTGTAGGTGATGTGTTTGTAATTGTGGAGGTGAGTTTGGAGAAGTAGCTGTGTCGTTAGGGGAGTGAGAACTATAAAAACCGTGAAAGAAGCAGTGGTAATGAGTTTGAAATGTTAAACTACTGTTACGGATATAAATAAAAATGTATGATGTAACATTTATTTTACATCAGTAAATATATCTTTATATTAAATTGTAGAATATATACAGAATTATAATTTTCTTTTACAAGATGAATGATAGTAATAGTACATTTTACTTTTATTCGCTTTTTTATATAAAAATGCTTCTTAATTAAATTTCTGTTATTATATTTTTTTATAAATTTTACAGACATACATGTACAGTATTACTATCTTTTGCTTAATTTTATTTTTAAAAAGTTGATTGTATAATCAGAAACCTAATATTTTAGGACAAAATTGATAGAAACAGAAAAATAAAATCAACGGGGTGAACCGTTGCCTAGATAATCAACGATAAATAAATACCGTTGCCCAGAGCCAAAAGGCTAAACCAACTTTTATTCCAAGATTATCAAGAATGAAGCATACAAGGGGTATAAATAACCCTCTAGGTCTAATAAGAATAGGAATCCTAAATAAATTAATCTAGGAAACTAAATAGAATAGGAAACCTCTAGTTCTAATAGAACTCCTAATTAAATCATTCTAGGAAACTAAATAGAAATAGGAAACCTCTAATTCTAATAAGAATAGAAGTCCTAAATAAATCCTACTAGGAAACAAATTAAATTAGGAAACAAAATAAAAGGAATAATAAATATTAATTAAACAGCCCGCAACCAGCCCACGAAGCCCAGATTCTGCTTCATATCAGAAATGCAAAAAAATATTCTAAAAGTTCCAAATGCTCCATTATGTGTAGGTTTTGGAAATTAAATTTTATCTTTTGGGATTGCACTTTTGGAGCTTTTTAAAAACTCCATATGGCCCCAAAAGTGTCAAATTGCCTTGAGATTTTAGCCTGCCAATGCTCTCCCACACGGAGAATTCAGAGATGACAATAATTACCCAAATTCAGATATTGAATGTTTTAAAGTGCACCTGCGTTGGAGTTCGTTTGTAGCTTCCTCCTATCTCCTTTATTCGGGTTATCAATGGTTGCAACTGAAGAAGAGCACAAAATATAGTTAGTTAGACACATAAAAAATGCCATAACAAGGTAGATAATTCACTAATAAGAAAGCCTTATACTTGGGTTAAAAACTTGGGAGTATAAATCTGTCCGCGAGGACCTGTTGGCGGATTTTCTGGACTATACTTTCCAGTAAGAACACCTGCATAAGAAAACTCATTAATCTCTCACTGAAAGGCCTACAAACAACTAGCTGAAACATATGTTTTAGCTTTATACAGTAAGAGTTAATACCTGAATTATACCCCCTCCGTCCCATATAAATGTTCACATTTCCATTTTAGAAAACAATTGAAAATCTTAAATGACATACTACCTCCGTCCCGTTGGAAGGTTTCCATAGCAAAACGGCACAGTTATTTAGACAATAATTAAATTAAGTACTTAGAGTATATTTTAAGAAATAATTTTAATAGGTATATATTATAATGCAGTTAGTATTGATAATTGTGATGTTATAAATGTAATATTTTAAATATTTAATGATTAATTTGTCACTTAAGATTGTTAATTATTTCCTAAAATGGAAACGGGAACCTTTATATGGGACGTCCAAAAAAGGAAAGTGGGAATCTGTTAATGGGACGGAGGGAGTATTAATCATTAAATATTAAAATAATACATTTATAACATCACAATTATCAACACTAACCCCATTATATTATATACCTATTAAAATTAAATCTCAAAATATACTCGAACTACCGTATTTAATTATTGTATAAATAATCGTGCCGTTTTGTCATGAGAACCTTTCAATGGGACGGATGTAGTATCATATAACCCTTTTTTGTCAATTTTATAGTGGACGGACAAAAATGTGAAAAATATCAACAGTGGAAGGGCTAATAGGCACTGTTTCTTGTGCCAAGATTTATTTAATGTTAAATCCACATCAAATGTTTACTATATCTATGTTAATATATTAGGATGTAAAATAATTACTTTGCATGCGAAGTGGAGGAACGTAAAAGGTTTACATCATTTAGTTTGATTATTTAATGTAAACTGTAGAGCACTTTTTAAAAACATTTTGCAGTGTACCATGTAAAGTATTTTACGTGGCGGAATGGTGGTAAAATACTTTGCATTCTTTTAATAAAGCACCGCAACGACTTTGTGTGCAAAGTAAAAATAAATTGCACATCTAGCCAAACAATGTAATCTATTTTACATGCGAAGTGATTACGTTCCTAAACTTTACATGCAATCATTTCGCTTGCAAAGAGTTAACATGTAAACTACCAAACGAGCCCTATGTGTGAAATAAATTGCACCTCTTACCTCTCAGATCTTTTTTGTCCGAGTTAGACCCAATTTACTATTGTATCAAGTCTGGTTCAATTGGGTTAGTTTGTTTGAGACACATGAATTAAGGTAACCCATTTGGGATCGGCTTGACCCGTATATCCAATCTTCACGTTGTCTAGCTCTAAAGTTGATGGGTGTGTTAAGTGTGAGGTAAACCTCACACCTCTTAAGGTTCTTTTTAGAGGGAATCATACCCAATTTAATATTTCATGTGTCCGCTTGAGAGCAAAATGGAGAGCATAAGAATATTAACCCCACCTTGAGCAATGGGTGAGTATGCAATTAAAGTGACTCCTAGTTCATCACAGGCAGCTTTCACACCATTCTCCTCTGGTAATCTGTATATCAGGCTGTAATTCACTTGGTTTGACGCTAGGGGTATACCCCTTCTCTTAAGCTGCATGTATGCATTTCGAAGGCGCTTTTCTGAAATACAAACCAGACAACCACTAGAAAAAAGGTTTGTTTGGGAAGGAGAGTGACAATGGAATAGATAAATACAAGTAGCAGACCACTGTAGTTAGATACTCCGACAGCTTTAACAAGGCCTTGTTCCACTGCATCTCCTAAACCATCAATATAACCTGAAAAGAATTGGAAAATGGTTTCTTTCTACTTTGGAGCATAATAGATTATTAGCTTCTAAGGGTGTTTGGTCCATACAAATGAAAGCTTACCTTGGGTAGGTTAACCTCCTGTATGGTAACATCAGAGTAGGGATTTGCAAGATTACCTTAACAGGTTGTTTGGTTCGAAGATCCTATATTAACTTGGTAATGTGAGAAAGGTCCTTATTGGGTTGTGTTTTTAGATTTCTGGGATAAATTACTGTCACAGGAGAAAAACAGATAACGCATGATATAATATGATTATCTTGGGTTTCTCATTAGATATTAGTATATTAAGTAGTATAGGATTACTTATGTATCTCCGGATTCTCCCCCAGTCCTAAATTATTTTTTTACCATGACTTGACGGTCTTATTAAGAACATAAAATTGCATACTTGGGTTTATTTAAAAAAAGGGAAACACAACTGTTTTCTTAACAAGAAATGGGAAGAAATATTTAGGACCACCCCAAAAGGAAAATGAGAAGACACATTTCGGACGGATCGATTAATATTATATATTGACTTTGTTTCTTACAATTAACAACATAAGTAACATCACATTCGATCAGCCAAAAAGCTTAATATAATCTTACATTCATGTAGTCTCACATTATTTTCAAATATATAGTCCATTTATCTAAGGCGACATTACTTATGTGAATCAAACTTTTCCTATGTAGTTTTGTTCATGAAATATTGACACTCCCTTCATCCTACATTTAACCTCTTTTTTTGACTATTCAAAGCGAACTACATCATCTTTGACCATTGCTTTCTCATCAAGTACAATTTTAGGATATGGAAATACTAATGAGCAATTTGTTTTAAAATATACTTTCAAAATAAAATATTAACAATTTATAAGATTTATTATTGTAATTACAAATTATAATACTCAAAGATTACCAGTATTGACTATAAAAAGTCAAACTAGGAAACAGTATTGTCGTACTGACTTTAAAAGACAAAAATAGGAAGATAAAACGGGGGCCAACCGAGTATTACTTATGTCATTATTGCTAGAATGAAGCCAGAATAGTCTAAAATATTGCCAAGGTAATCTTACAATAACTATTTGAAAAATCCAAGGCAATACCATTAGCCCCAATATTACATCGTTTTGCTTTGAGGGCGTAATTTCCCTTAATCAAGGACTAAATAAGTTATATTTTGGGAGTCAGTTTAAAAAGAAGAGGTCACAAGAAAACCTTCATTTCCCCATATTCCAGGCCTGAAAATAGAATTAAGTGCTGTTAGCAGCGCAACATATTGATTTTAGTTACTGAGAAGTTAAGTTAAACATTCAGAATTGGGATGTAGCTTTTTACCAATGGAGCTGATAGAGTTCAACTGAAGAGAGTCCAAGGCGAGCCAAGGAAGCCTTGAGGGCTGCAAGGACACTTTGACGGCCAAGCCTCCATGGCAATGCTGCAAACTTGGTTGCGACAGCCACCTCCACATCTGGACTCCTCTCTTTTCTTTCCTTCATAAATCTTTTTGGGAGTTCAGTCAGAAATATAATGAAAATTTAATGAACAAACAAAAATAAAAAAAGGAATGTATGAAGGTAAGTCAACTCACACTTGACAAATATATAAGACATTTAACTATCTATCGATCATTTAGAATAAAATTACAAGACTTAATACATGCAAAGAGTCAAAGACAGTAGATTGAAAAAATATAAAAGCAGTAGAATTGTAGCTCACCTCCCAAGTAGAGTTTCAGAATTCATTGCGCCCAATGAGAACTGCAAGTATCAAGAAATGGTTTTTCATTGCTAACTGTTTGGACTGTTGGACCAATGGAGTCCAAAGGACACTAGGAATTAAAAAAGATCTATCCATACCCTTGATCCGTAAACCTCGGCTGTATCAAAGAGTGTAATTCCACAATCGAGGCTAGCATCAAATGCACTTTTTGCAGCCTTCATTTTTCTATCTTCGTTATGATAATATAATTGGGATGAGAATGAAATCACGTGGATACCACATAAGCTGAACTAGTATAAGTCATAAACAACAATGGTTACACCACCATACTGCCCAAATAACTCAGATATAAGGCCTTGGAGTACTCATTCTATCCATTTAACTTCTTCAAATGAAAAGTTGAAGTCTTAATATAGTACTGGATCCATTAAAATCAAACGAGCTACCCATTTTTATTATGACTTGAAATCCACACAGATGTCACATTGATCTGCTTTAACGAACTCCAGGACATGTTAAGTGATCCCATACTGGCCAAATAGGTCACAAAGGAAGTTTTGAATTACTCATCTTATCAGGTTAATCATTTGGAATAAAATTCTACATATTAGAAAAACAAAGACTGGTTTTTTCGTGAGCTCTCAACTATCATAAGTTTGTTTATCTTCCAAAAAAGTTATAGAGTGCTGTTGGAAAAAGGACCATTCACATGCCTAAACATTTGCCACTATAACCATCACATTATGCAATCTATTATTATTATTGCACGGGGAAAAACAATAATTAGTAACTATATGTTTCTTCAGACAAATTCTTCAGCAAAAATGAAATGTGCATCCAAAATTTGCATTTCTACTCAAGTTGTGGCCGGCAAAAAACTACTTCTTCTACCATCTTACCATCCCATTCAAAATTGTTCCAGTAGCTGGTGTCACCCCAAGACCAGGCCCCAATTCCAAGCTTGGTGACCATCAATCCGGACCCACCAAGCTTTACCTTCTGCTCTTCCTCACTTCTCAATGCAAGACTGCTTCCTGAAGCTATGGCTCTGGGTGGAACTGCATGGGATGTGCATAGTCTTGAGGGGCTGGAACACACGGTACTCAAATATAGAGCCATTTCCACTCCAAATCCAAAAGAACGCAGCAGATAGACTGAGAGAGGGTATGCGGTGGCATAAGAGGAAAAAGGAGAAGTAGATGACGAGGGCGTGCCATTAGCCGCATAATAATACTGGAAGAACTTGTGGATGCAGCTGTGGACATGTCAAGAGCGTGTGCAATTCCACCCTATCACCCTCTCTCTTACTCATCACAAAGTCTCCAACTCTTTTCTCCACTAATCTTGATTTACAATGTCCATCCGTTTCACAATCTCGATTAACAACCATGGGTCCACCTTAACACACTATACTAGATTTAATGAGGGAGGCTTCTTAATTACTCCCTCCATTTCGCAAAGAAAGTCACGGTTTGACTTCTCTAGGATTAAGGAAATAAATTGATTTTACTGTAGAAAACACTGTTTAGACATTGTTTAGACACTATTTGACACTGTTTTGAAGTGGATTTCTTTGCTGAAATAAGGGAAGTGTGACTTTTTTGAAACATCAAAAAAAGGAAAGGGTAACTTTGTTTGCGGAACAGAGGAAGTATCAACTAAGAAAAATCCAGTAAGTTAATTTTATTAGTCACTTGAATACAAATTTTTCAAGAGTAAAATTTAAATGTTGGGTTAATTCATTTGATTCTTTCTCACTTATTTCTACTTGATGAACTAATTCATATATACGGATTTTTTGAGAAATTATCATTTATTAAGTTTTGAGGTAAAGAAACTTAATAGGAAGTACTTGGTAAATAAATGAAGCTTTTAACTAATACTCCCTCTGTCCCGTAAAGAAGTTCCCGTTCGGTTTACGATTCTTGACTGAAAATAAAACAACTCGATCCCAATTCACACTCGGATTATTTTTTGTAAATAAAATTTACATATTCAGAAACTACATTAAAAACTGCTACAAAGTCTGTTCAAGAAAATTTAAATTTGATAAAACATTGATATATAAAGTAAAATATTATGAGTGGTTTAAGTTGGCCAATGAATAGTGAACATGAACTTCATTTCGGGACGGAGGTAGTAGTAAGTTATGGACTTTCGGATTGAAAATGCAAACAAGGGATAAACATGGGAGGTTTGTTTTAGAAGATAAGAAGGCATATCTAAGTTTGTTTTTCCACGTCATTTTGAGTCCTAAATTAAAAATGATCATTTATTAGTTCTTCAATCTTTTTATATGAGCTTTGTTTGTTGTTTATGAGGTTTATACTATTTCCACATTCATGATGGTCATTTTCCTGTTACAAAATGTGCATTTATCTGGTTATGGTAAGTATTTTTTATCTTAAGATTTGATATACAAATGAATGTGTATCATATTGCAGAGATCTGTGTGAATTACTTGACTATATGTGATTTTTGAAAAATTTATGTCGTGTTTTTTGAAAGATTTTTCTCTTCAAGAGTGTAATGTTCCGAAAAGGGTGTCAACAAACAATTCTTGGTCCATAAAACCTCTAAAACGAACAACAATTGAATAAATTAAAGTTGTTAAAATTGTCATGATTTCTTATAACTTAAGGATTCAGAGGTATGAGCCTATAGAACAGATCCTGTTCAAGTAAGGACGTATAATTGAAAATTATAATACTCAAAGATTACGAGTATTGACTTTGAAAAGTGAAACTAGGAAACAATATTGTTACTTTAAAAGACAAAAATAGGAAGCTAAAATTAGGGGCCAACGGAGCATTACTTATGTCATTAATTTGCTAGAATGAAATCAGAATAACCTAAAATATTGCCAAGGTAATCTTACAATAACTATTTCAAAAATCCAAGACAATATCATTAGCCCCAATATTACATCATTTTCCTTAGTGGACGTAATTTCCCTTAATCAAGGACATAAGTTATATTTTCGGAGTCGGTTTAGAAACAAGAGGTAACAAGAAAACTTTCATTTCCCCATATTCCAGGCCTGAAAATGGAATTAAGTGCTGTTAGCAGTGCAACATAGGGGGTGTTTGGAACCGATTATGGTTCTGCTTCTTTTTAAAGTAGAAGTAGAATCAGTTTTCAGAAGCTGGTCACCCTCAGCTTCTAAAAAAACTGATTCTAGGAGTAAATTAGAGCACCAGAATCACTTCTGTGATTTCATCCAAACAATACGGCTTCTGCTTTTGCTCCCTCAAGGAGCAAAAACAGTTTTAAGAATCAGATACAAACACCCCCCATATTGATTTTAATTACTGAGAAGTTAAGTTTTAAACATTCAGAATTGGGATGTAGCTTTGTACCAATGGAGCTGATAGAGTTCAACTGAAGAGAGTCCAAGGCGAGCTAAGGAAGCCTTGAGGGCTGCAAGGACACTTTGACGGCCAAGTCTCCATGGCAATGCTGCAACCTTGGTTGCAATAGCGCTGAAAAATACCTTGGAATAAGTTAACAGCAAACCTATCTCCATGAATGAGAGGGTACTCTCCCTCCTCAAGAAGTCTGTCTATTTCTCCACGTGTGCTCGACATACACTAGTAAAAAAATGGCTTATAGTGACATTAATTTAGTGTCACTAAACGATTTAGTGACACACTGAAAGTGTCACAGACAAGCGGGGCAAGTGACACAAAATTTAGTGTCACAGTTAACAAATCACTTTTGTGTCACAAAATTATGACATAAAAACATCATAGAGAACAATGATACATTTGTGTTGCTATTCTTAATGACTCCTAGACATCATCTGAACTAATGATACATTAATATCAAAAAATGTTTTGACACATTGGTATCATACATATTTATGACTCATTGGTATCATGTGTGTGTATATCCATAATAATAAAATCATATTGATTCTAATAATATAATATCTCATATTAATAAAATTATATTGGTATTTATAAATAAACAAAATATTAAACAACTATATTCATTTAATAACTGAAATCATAAGTTTCACATATTCAAAAATTACAACACAAATATTTTAAATCGGCACAACTAAAAACTAACACTTCTACATATTCAAGAACATGTTGATGTTGATATTGCTAAAGAAATGTTAAACTCAGAAGAAAGTGCTCATCACGAGGAACAAAAGAACATTGATCGGATAGCTTGGAACCGGCCACATCCGTAACCTCTACCATTCTGTCAATCTGTCTACGTCCATGCCCAATACATCTTCCATTTGAATTTCATGTACAACACACTAGGATAAAACTGAAATTGAAGATGAAAATATTATCATACTTGATTACACAATAAGGTTTAATGATACAAATATATATTAAACTCAGAACAAATATTATCAATGTCAAAATATTGAAGTTATCAACTGAAATTGCAAGCTATTAGTCATCATTTACCACTTTGGTTCGAGTCATAATAAGGTTTAATGATAAAAATGTAAAGAACAGTAACCCAAATTTCAACTCCAGAATATTAAAGTAAAAACACTAAACATCACAATGTATCAGCATACATTATCATCAAAGAAAAGTTTAGAACAATGTAGGTTTTCAAAACTAATTTACCGGATAATATATACTGGTGATCTCTCAAAAGGTCATCACGTAATCACCTGCAAAGGCACCATTTTTGCATGTAATAGGAAAAGCTCAAAAACGCACTTCATGTAAAAGTAGAAAAATAAAACGTACTTCACATCCATAGTTAAAGCATAATAAACCACATTCCTATCTAGAATCCTTGGAATTCCGCAATGTTTCAGATTGTCAAATAACACAAACTAATTATATTCTTATACAGAAAGCAAGAATAAAAGCAAATTTCTACATTAATCCATTCCTATTCAGTGATATTGATTGAAATTGAAGGTTTCCTTCTACATATGGTTATGTTGTCCCTATTACGGCGTTTGTGAAACTTCACCTCCCTCTAATTTAAAAGGTAAAATACAATTCAAACCAATCATTTCAGGTATGCATACCTTGTATAATGTAACACAAGTATTTACCCGTTTGGGAACATTTTTTGAAGCTTCAATTTAATAACACTTTTTAATGATTTGACATTATTTATGTTCAAATTTATCCACCAAACTGCCCATAAGAATAGTCACTCTAAATACTAAACTACAAAAAAAGAAAGGAATGAAATTGTCAATCTATAAAGTTCCAAATATAACAGTTTCAATGCAATGGGTAAACCAACGGGCAGTATTACCTGTTATACATTTACCCAACACTTGAATAGATTACTAGCATCAGGCCCCTGCGGTGGAAATAATCTGCCAGGGATTTAATCCTGAAGGGAAATGTTGAATTCTTAGGCAGAAGGCTACCCTAGAAATTCAATCAATGCTAGCGAAGGATTTAAGCCCAACAATCATCTAAGGTTAAAGCATCGAACATATTATAGCTAGATTATATATAACAGAAAATTAGCAAAAACATCATCGGTTTCAATATAGGATGCTTATTGAATAGTAACATGAAATACTGCCAGATTTGTCATCTAAGGTCATGTCTAGATTCCATAGTAGTCAGTGGCAAAACGCAGTGTTCTCTCATTACAAGCAATGAAAAGAATCTGACTGGCTGAAAATCATTTAGCAATTCATGAACTCTGGACGTGTATCTCTATCCAGATGACAATGTAAGCTTAAATGAACTCCAAACCAATCCTTCCTTGTCTTGAAAAGAATCCGACCAGGCAGATGCATAGTATTAAATCACCTCATACCAAATATAAACACTATAAAGATAACTGTAGAAATAAACATACAAGTTATGGATATCTTTTACATAAGTGTTTAAGGGAATAAAAGACCTATGTTACTTCTTAGCATAATTAATCATTAAAGCCAAAGAATTAATGATTTTCATTAATAATAAAGAAAGACAATTTTTAAGTAGTTCACTTAAACAACTCTTTCTCAAATTTGTACATCAAAATAATAAAGAAACACCTTTGGTTGGAGAAAACAAATACGTGAATGCTTGTTGTTTGTGTAAGACTCTACTCTGCTGGTGCTAAGACACATAAACCAATATGGAATAGAAAACGTTGTTTGCAAAAAAATACAAGTTAAGTTAAAATAATAGCTGGTATCGCCAGACAATAAAATAGATTTGAAATACCACAATGCTTATAATCACAAAGATAATGCAGTGGAAGCACCTCACAA